GACTTCCAGAATTCAGTTGTGCAGTTTCTGACATAAAGAATAATATTAAGTCGATTAGACTTGATGGTTGTCTATTCGACTAAAGGTCTCAACTTTGTCAACAGTAACACGAGCAATTACTAACTTAGGCAATACAGAAGGTTATACATTTTATGCTAATTACACAAATTACAAGGAGCTCTACGCCTTTCACTTAGACGGTTAGTCCGTTTTGAAAATTTTAGCCTCAATTTTTACTATTTTTAATTGCACCCTGCGCCAATCACCACTGTTCTCGTCTACCCTTGTTTTTTTTTTCGGCATATTGGAACTTTTTTTAGTGTTTATCTTCCACAGCAAACAAACACCTATTCTAAAAGAGAAGATTCCTTGTGGAGCCGAAGAGACCACAAATAACATGACGTAGCTTCTTCATAACTCCAGTCGGTGGGAGACCAGTTGGCTATGTACAAAGAATGACGTCAGACTCCAACCTCGCTCCCAGGAGGAGGCTGGCTGGAGTAAGGCCACAAACATCCGGATTGCGAATCACGCGCTCAGATCCACTTTAGTTCTCTCTGCCATTCTAAGAAAAATCAGTGATGCATAAAGTTAAAGCTCTTATGGAAATTCTCACTAAAGTCAGTTGTCACTAGTCGATCGACAAGGAATGCCCAGATTCCTCAGATCCCCCTGTACAGATCCACCACAGGGCAAAGAACAATTTATTTTAGGAATGTCAAACTTTGGAATTCCTTGGGCCTTTCAGCCTAGTGGAGATGGATATTGACAGAATTCAAACTCTACTTAAAGAAACAGTTTATTTTAACCTCTTCACAAATCATTTAATTTCTTAATTCACATTAATTTTATTCGATCAAATCCCCTGATGAGTGTGCAATCACGAAACAGGCTTGTAGGGATGAAAGTGAAGTCTGTCTGTTTTTTTTTTCCCCTATCGCAAAATATATCGCGCTCTACTTCTATGTATCGAGCACTGTAAAACGGTAAAATCAATACACAGTGTTGAGGCCAATCCTCAACAAGAGAACAATTTTGTTTTCCTAAGTCCGCTCCATTCTATTTTTGTAATTTATACTCCCAGCATGCTTAGTGGGCGCGTCTCAGTGTCGTCGTGTAGCGAGAAAGAAACCATGTGCTTTGTAACGCGCTAGTCGCCGGGAGTTTCTCATCGTATGGTGAGTCTTAGGAGCTCGTGTATTTCCAAATCCCGTTCCAACAGTGATTAAGTGTTTGTTTTGTAGGTTTTTACTTGCGAGGTGAAGCTTGTTAGCCAAAGATGAGACTCCAATTCCGATCCTGTTGTGTTGTTAAGAAAATATGCTGAGTGTGCAACTCTCGATTATTAAACCTTGTGTTCAAGAACCCTTGTGTTGTGAAGGCGCGTTCTTTGTCCCCTGCACACACATACTTCCTATACATCTACATATATGTATGTATATGTATATGTATATATACACATTCATACTAGTATATCAGTATATCTGTCTGTACTTTTAAGCCGCCATTTCCGAGTTATTAGTTCTCGCGATTTTTATTTCCATTATTTTGCCCCCAAATTCTCAGTACTCGTAGATTGAAGTCTGATATAATGGGCGTAAGTATACTCATAGTTCAGAAACTATACCAGAAAACCTTAAAAACAACATCAGTGTCCTAAAGAGTTAAAAGAAAACAAAAATAAAAAGGCAAACAAACAAACAAACAATAAATCCGAAAGTAAATAGTAAGGCGGACGATGGAACACGCCTAAATAGTATTAAACGATTTAATTTTCAAGATTTATTTAACAATTCTCCGTTGAAGACGAAGGTAGGGATTATCGATTCGACAATGCATGGGAAGCTTAACTAAAGAGAGACTTTATTGAGATGCGGACGGTAGCCAGAAGTTTAGAGTTATTCTATGTGGCCCAGATCTTAAGTCTCTGCTGTTTGGATTAAAACGTTTATCGAAGGCTTTTAAGTTAAATGGTTGATGTCCAAGCGCGTCAGAAGTAGTTTTA